TGAGCTTAGTGTTTTGTCTGTGGGAGCTGGAAAGTGAAGACATAGGATTGATCAGCCTTTCATTCAAAACTCCTTCCTTAAAAACTCCATTTCACCAGGGTTATCCTGTGCTTGAGGTCCTCATCAACCCTGTCCTGGCTTTACCAACGTCACTGTGGGAAGATTCATGTGAAGGTGTGAAGGGTTAATATGCCAAGGGAAGGAACTGCATTGCATGTGATGCAAAAGGTTGAAATTATGAGGGGAGAAGAAAGTGATAGAGAAATACTATCAGCAGTTGCCTGTGCTGAAGTGCTGCAAATGTGGCTAAGCCTTCTTGAATACTGGAGATCGCATCTGAACTTCAGTTTCTGCCTAGGCACTAGATATAGATACCATTCACAACCTGAAACTGAACATATGAACAGCTGCTGTAAAACAAATCCTTGCTCCAAGGCACATGTGCAAGGCAATGAACTGGATTCATTACTCCCTGTTTGAAAATTCGGAGCCCAAAAGCATGAATTAAGGGTGTACCTGGAGTTTTCTCCTAATATCAAAAGGAGCGTGACCAGCAGGTCGAAGGAGGTGATCCTGCCCCTCTGCTCTGCTGTCGTGAGACCTCACTTGGGGTATTGTGCGCAGTTCTGGTGTCCTCAACATAAAAAGGACATGGAACTGTTGGAACAAGTCCAGAGAAGAGCCACAAGGATGATCAGGGGCTGGAGCACCTCCCATACAAAGATAGGCTGAGAAAGTTGGGGCTGTTCAGCCTGGAGAAGAGAAGGCTGCGTGGAGACCTCAGAGCAGCCTTCCAGTATCTGAAGGGGGGCTAAAGGGATGCTGGGGATGGACTCTTCATTAGGGACTGTAGTGATAGGACAAGGGGTAATGGGTTAAAACTTAAACAGGGGAAGTTTAGATTGGATATAAGGAGGAAATTCTTTCCTGTTAGGGTGGTGAGGCACTGGAATGGGTTGCCCAAGCAAGTTGTGAATGCTCCATCCCTGGCAGTGTTCAAGGCCAGGTTGGACAGAGCCTTGGGTGACATGGTTTAGTGGGAGGTGTCCCTGACCATGGCAGGGGGGTTGCAACTACATGATCTTAAGGTCCTTTCCAACCCTAACTATTCTATGATTCTATGTGGACTTAAACTGTCTTAAAGAATAATGTCTACTAAAGATGAAAGTTACAAAGTCACAAATAATCAACACAGCATCCACTCTGAAACCCCTTAAACCTCTCTGCAAGTACTATTTACAATCAAATATAAACATTAAATACTTAATAGAAGCCAGAGGTATTTCTCATTCACTCACCTGTACTCAAACACTTCAGCCACCTATAAGAAAATGGGGAGCAGGTCCTATCAGATGTCTTAAAAGCCTGTTGTTCTTCACATGCATCTACAGCGAAGTCTGAAAATCTGCAGAAGCCAGCTGAGCATCTACAGCATCTATTAACTCACAGCAGAGCTTACATAAGATGCAGACAACATATTCAAAGAGCAGTGATGTAAAACCAAACAATTTGGTTTGTTATACATTTATACTCTTTCTCGCCCTCCCTTCCAACATAGTATGATTTGGGGAATTCCTTTGTAATCAAGATCATTCCTTTATCTTGGATGTTTTTGCAGCCCTGGTTACCAGGAGAAATATCATTTCTCAGCTGTGTTGGTTTGGGTTTTTTTTTCTCTCCAGTAGCAATGAGATTTTCTACTTCTGTGCTACAGCAAAAAAAGAAGAAAAAAAGAAATAAAAGGGAAAAAACCACCAAACCCACTCTCATGTGAGTCTCTGGTTCAGCACAGTTCCTCCTTCTCCTGAAACACTCACAAACCTGGGCTTTGCTTATATTGGAAAAACAAACCACATTAGGAAATACGTGCCCCACACACATCCAGAGGCAAGGGCCCTGAGAGCATCACCCCCTTCCTGGAGGTCTGACACCCTGGGCTCACTGACAGTACAGAGATAGTGCAGCTGAGGGCTGCCCCCTTTCCCTGCAGCAACCTTGGAGGCAGGGCTGCAGGGAGACCTCAGGGAGGCTCTGGTGCTGCGCTTTGCCTGAGCTACCACTGCAGCTCTGATGACCAGGCCTGTAGCTCCCTAGACCTGCTGACCAGCTTCTTGGCCGGATCTCAGACCTGCCTCACTGCTATGGACTTGACTGCTGATCATGGGGCTGTGTCCAGCACCAACTGCTGTCGGTGGACTGAACTCATCAGACCTATCCCATCACTGTGTACTTGTCCAGCAATCTGGACTATCCATTGACCCCAGCTGCCATTTCTAGGCCTGCCCTGCTCACCTTGCACAGATCCTGTGGGATGAGGCCCTGGCCAGTGAGGTCCCATGCTCCACTGGCCATGTTCCAGCACTCAGCTCCCTGCCCTTTAGGGAGAAGCTGGCCCTCACTGTCCCCTGATGCCAGAGTATTGTGGCATATACAGGAATACCACGCCACTTCCTCAGACCCACAGTTTGTCTAGATCAGCATATTGTTTCTTACAGGACTAGTTCTTTTTTCCAGAATACATGCTGCCATTCAAGAACAAGATCCAGGCAGAAGTGAAAACAGTATACCCATCTTTATCAAAGGGTCTGAGGGAAGAGTTATAAATCAACTGACCTCCCTTTGTTATTTGAACAGATAATGGAACAAGCTGTTCGGCAATCAGTGTGCAAGCAACTAAATAACAATAAAGTAATGAGAAACAGGCAGTGTGCATTTGTCCAGAACAAATCATGTCAAAGTAACCTAATTTATTTCTTTGCTGAGGTAACTGACTAAGTAGGTGCTGAAAGGAATAGATGAAACATCTTTTGACTTCAGTAGGGCTTTTCACATTGCCTGGAACACCACTCTCATAAAGGCAAATAGGTCTCAGGTGGTATTAACATGAGAGGTATGTGTAATTGAAAAACAATTCCCAAACTGTAGCGGTGGATATTTTGCTGTCTATAGGAAGGTACATCAAATTATGAGATCTGATCTGTCTGCTAGGGTTGATTACTTTAACTAGTGACTGCCCTTTGATGTCAAACTTCTGCAAATAACAGGAAGTCAGGCAGTACCACACTTTGGAGGCAAAGATTTGAACATCATTAGTTTAACATCACTAAATGGCAGGAAGAGCCTCAAACCAGTGAGATGAAACTCAGTGAAGACAAGTATTGCACTTCTAAAAGTTGAATTCTCAAATTTAAAATGAGGAAAAAAAGTGAAGCCTTTGGTAAGATACCAAAAAGTACATCCTCTCAGGGCAAGTACTTTAAGAAATCTGTAATTATACATTGGAAAATGTGGACTATATGAAAAGCCACTTCTTTGTCATGAGGACAGCATGACTGGGAAAGAACAGTGCACTGATAACACAGTGATCTCCCAATTTGAAATACACACAGCACCAAATGACACAAAAATCATTTGCAGCAGTCAAAACTATCTTGATCTGCAGAATACTGGCCTTGTGCCCTCTGTCATACTGCTCTGAGCAACTTGTCATGGCTCTGATGTCTTTCCCTTTGCCATACCTCCTCCTGTTGCATGAAGCCTCTCTTTGGGGGAAGATGTTGCTAAAGGGCTGCTCCCCCTGCCAGAGGGCAGTGGGTGAGAAGGGAGCTATAGATTCAGGAGCTCTGGGCTCTACAGGGTGCGGAAGGGAAGCCACAAGTCTCCCATGCCACCACCACTGAAGTCCCTCAGGACAGGTCATACTGTGTCCCAGTAAGAGGCAAGTCACAAGAGCTCAGAGGTGACATTGCACAGGTCTCCTGGTCTGCACAGCATGATAATACAGAGAGGCAAAACCTTCCTGTTTGAGTGTCCATCTTCTAGCAGAGCCCAAACAGATATTTTTGCCCTCAATGCTACCCCCTCTTGGGACTCTGCCAAAAGGCAGGGTGACTTGAACAGCAGCCTGCTTCAGGACAAACACAGAAATCACTGACAACCGTTTTGGTTTTGTTTCTTTTGGCAGATATCACACAAAGGCCCGAAGATCAAAACTGCGGCATAACACACGCTGGCTCGTTTTACTGAGCTTTGCAACTTTTCCTCTGAAGATGCCAAGTGACCCCCAGGAAATCTCTCAGTCTTGAAGCCAAAACCTAAGCTTGGAAAACTTCTGTGGCCAGCGTCACCGCAGTTGGAGGCTGCAGACTGGCTTTATAAAACGGGGTCTCTGCAAGTTCATCCTCAGTCTGAAAAACCTTTCTGGTTGCTTTCTAGTAACGCTCTGTCTTCTCTGACTTAGAAGTGCATCTCTCCGCCATGGCATGTGACACATTTCCCAGATGTGGTTTCAGCAGAACACAGGAGGGTTCAGCCGTGCAAGAGACCCCTGGAGCTTTTGCAGCCCAACAGTACTGCTCCCATCTTGCTGAAAGGTTAAGGGTATCACAGTCATAGGAGTTTTATGAACGACTCAAACAATGCAGGATGTACCAAGCCATGCTTGAATTAACGAAATTACATTTTGCTGCAGCCTTTCACACCTCCGGCCAGAACTAAAAGACGAGGACATTTATCCCAAAGTTACGAGCAGCCAAAAATGAAGGCTGGGGATGGCCCCGTGCAAGATGCATTGCAGGTGCAAGCCGGCAGAGCCCTGACTCGGTGGGCTTGGGAGTGCTGAAGCCCCGCGGATGCCGCTGCCGCGGCCCCGTATCCATGTGCCTGACGGTGCCCCTGAGCTCACAGCACAGCTCCCCAGGGGGAAATGCTCCCTGACAACCATCTGCCAAAGCCGGCTCAGAATTTGGGGCCGGGCACAGGGAGGAGACCCTCCTCTCCGGGGCCATTCCGCCGGCCTCCCTTCCCTTTCCTCCCTCCCCTTCGCCTCCGGCCGGGCTGCGGAGGGTCCTTGTCTGGGCGGGGGTGTGGGGCTGCTCCCCCCGCCTGTGGCCGGGCTGTGCATTTAAATTGCAAATACAGCGGCTCGGCGGCCGCCCAGCCGGGGAGAGGCGGGTCCGGCTGCTGCACCGGTCGGCGTGCGTGAGGCTGCCCCGTTGGGACTGGCAGCGGCACGGACGAGCCCATGGCCCGGGGGGCGGCCCCGGCCTCCGGGGCTTCGCTCTGCGCCCTGCTCTGGGCAGCAGCGGCAGCAGCGGCGGTGGCCGGCCCCGAGGGCAGCCCCGCACCCGGCGCCTTCGGCCGTGTCTACCGGGGCAACGTGAACATCAGCGCGGAGCGGGTCTACGCCTTCGCTTACCGCAGCCAGCCTGGGCAGGTAGGAGCGTCCCGCGGAGCGCCGGCTTCCCCGCGGCAGGGACATGGACCGGGGCCCCTCGCCCTCTTCCCGACGATGTGGCCGGAGGTGGGGGAACCGGTGCCGCTGCGGCTCCGCCGCTCTGCGGGAGGGGGCCGGGCTGTCCTTCAGCGGCCGGGGGGTCCTGCCTGCATCCTCCGGCCGCCGTGCACCGGTGGGCTGCGCTCGTCCTCCCGCCGGCTTCCCTGGCACGGCCGGGGCACACGGGGCTGTGGGGCCAGAGGACACAGGGCGGGCGGTGCAGCCTCCCACATGGGGGTTTGGTAGCCAGTGCTGCCAGCAGCAACATGGGCTTACAGTCTAGAAGGGAATTAAGAGGATAATAGTACTACCTAAAATACATGTATCGATATAAAAGGGCTGTGTTTGAGCAGTTAATAAGCCTTTTAAAATACCGTTTCCCACACTTTAGCACTCCTATAGGATCAGGGTGCTCTCTCCTGGAAGGTGAGACAAGTAAGGTGCTATGTGAGGAGGCTGCCCGGCAGCACTGCTAAAGCCATGGCTGTGTGATGGGGGGAGGAAACCTGTCATAGCTATTGCGGCTTTTTCCCCTTCCCCCCCTTTTTATGTCGTGTTTATCTGAAGGAGCTAAGTGGTACCTTGGAAACTGTCCCCGTTGTTTGGATTGGGCGTTAATTGCTGGGCAGGATGTTCTGATGAACCAAAAAGATGGTGAACCAGGCGAATGACTCTTTGCTCCTGTCCTCAGCTGCACAGGACATGAAAAATTGGAAAATACTGTTTTTCCCACACTGTATTTGACATGTTTCAACATGAAGCGAGTTGGTAGAGAGCATGATAAAAGGGGGAGGAGGTGAAGCAGGGGGAGGTAGCGTTAACCATCCCTTTGGGAGGCTTTACTTTACTCTGAAATTCCAGAGCTTTAAAGACTCATTTTTCTTCTGTTATGTGTGTTACTATGTAATAAAATGCAGCTGGTATTTATGGGGCAGGAGTTGTGTGTCAGGGCTGTGATGCAACTGAGCCCAGCATTACTTACCTCTTAGGTGTCACTACTGAACCCAGTAGGTCACAAGCATGCTTTGGGCATGAACCTCTGTGTGGAAGCTGGTGGTGATGTACATTAGGCTTTTTCATGTGTTACAGGTACTGGGTGTTAGGATGAGGGTCTGTTGGCAGGCCACATGTTAGTGGGGCTTGTTAGTAGTGACAGCTCAAGTACTGACTGCAGCCAAAATGAATCTAGTTCTTTTGATGTCTGTTAATGTGTGTTTGCCAGACATCTTCCATAAAGAAGGAGATCTAGGGTGATGGCAGAGTGGGAGAAGGCAGGCAGGGAGCACATGGCTGCTCTGTGGTGTTTGTGGGCATCGAAATGCATCTGCTGCTCAATGGCACTAGACCATTCCTATGGCTGTGAAGAGCCACCTGGTTCAGATTGCTGCTGCATTTAAGCATAAACTTTAGTGGCCTGACCTCCATGTTCCTGTGTGCTGGAACGTGAAATTTCTGCAGAGATGCTGAGCAGGTCAGGGGCATATCTAAGATGGGAAAACTCTGGTTTGAGGCTTAATATTTTTTTAATGCAGAACTCTCTAAACGCTGCCAGGAATGTGCTTTAAAAGGGCCATGCAACCAGCTCCTGCTGTGAAACCTAATTTGGAGGAGAAAGGCCACTTAAAGATGGACTGTCCCAGACTTTCTGGTGTGGGATGCCCAGAACAGGTTATGAGGATAGAGAAGGTCCTAGAGAAGAGAATGCTCCAGGGAGACCTTATTGTGGTCTTTCTGTATATAAAGGGATCTTTGAAGAAGGATGAAGAGAGGCTTTTTACAAAGTCTGTAGTGACAGCACAAGGGGCTACAGCTTTGAACTGGATGTAAGTTGGATGTAAGGAAGAAATTTTTTTACAGTGAGAGTGGTGAGACACTGGAACAGGTTGCTCTGAGAAGTTGTGGATGCCCCATCATTGGGAGCATGCAAAATCAAGTTGGATGGGGCTTTGAGGAACCTGATCTAGTGAAGATGTCCCTCTGCCCGTGGCAGGGTGTTTGGACTAGATGATCTTTAAAGGTCCCTTCCAACTAAAAGTGTTCCATGGTTCCTCACTGAGAAGCCCTACAGATGCTATTCCTGAGCTGAAGCAGAAGCCTGCAAGAAGGTGTCTGGCATAACTGGGATAATGGCTGCAGGTGTGCACAGCCCCCTTCCCACTACAGCCCTGAACTAATGAGAGGCAAACATGGCTGGGTCTCCTCTTGCCAGCCTGGTCAGAGGCAGAGGTTTATCTGTTCTGGTGGTCCTGCATCTCCCTGCTGATGAGGATTGTTCAAGGCTTAGAAGCTTGATAGTGGAAATCTTGATTTTAATCTGGCACCATGCTCTTGCAGGCAGGTATTTCTTGTGCAAAAGTTGTGTAGATACTTAGGGAGGTCCTGTCCTCTGGGTAGTTATTGGATCTTCTGAAGGAATACAAGTCCTGCAAAAACTTGGTGTACTGGTGTTTGCCTTCCACTGCAATCTTTAGCCTTGAACTCTTAGCGAGTGGAACGTCAGCTGTAGTTTGTTGGTTGCCTGCCACTTGCGAGCTCTCTGCTCATCTCGGGCTTTCTCAGTCTCCTCCTGTCTGCGCTGATGGCAGGTCAGCCAGAAGCCTCTGATACCTCGAGGCAGATACCACATGGACCATTAACCTTAGTTACAGGAAATATAATTGAATAAAAAGAGCATTTTCTATGTGGAAGGGCTGCAGTGGGTGAGTTTAATGGCTTTCCCTCTGAAGCAAAGCCAGGGCCAGAGTGGTCTGGCTCTGAAACAGGGATATTTTTTTTTTCCTGAGCTGTAGATTCTGCTGGTTTCCCCTCTCTGCTGTTCTCCCTCATGAGGGAAGGCCTACAAAGCAAGGGATGCCATGGAGCCAAGGGTAAGATGTAAGAGCTGGCTTGTGACCCATCAGTTCTTTGGATTTGTTCTGGTTGCACATGTGCTATGGCTGCCTGGGCACATGTGACAGTGCAGCTGGATGGAGCAGTGCTTGAATGATGGATGAGAGAAAGGAGGTAATTGTATTGTAGAACCATAGAATCAGAGGATGTTTTGGGTTGGAAGAGGCCTTAAACTCATCTAGTTCTAACCACCCCAGCCACGGGCAGGGACACCTTTCACTAGACCAGGTTGTTCAAAGCCCCATCCAGCCTGGCCTTGAACACTGCCAAGGATGGAGCATCCTGTTTGGTGCTTTAGAGACTTATCACTTTCTGAGAAGTGTTGTGCTCGCCTGATCTCATCTACATAATCATCCTTACTCCTTGGGATACAAGGATGCACAAGGGAAGGGGAAAAGCAAGTCCTATCAGACTGTTGATGAGCAGATGCGTACAAGTTTAAGAAAGTACAACTTAGGCCTCTGGAGCACAGCTGCTTTGAGACAGGGAAGTGACTTCCCTTCTGTGCAACTCTTGGATGTGTAAAATGAAAATAAGGTCACTTGCATGCTGTCCAAGTCACCTAGCTGGAACTCTGATGCACATACATGATGCCAGGTCTCTGTGTGTGTGGAGCGGGAAAAATCCTCCTACATGCTATGCACGCTTCATCTCATGTCTTGAGGCAGGAGCTGTCAGGCTTTTTTGTACTTGGCAGCTAGGATTTAGGTCTTAATTCCTGAGTTGGAACTGTAGGGTGAAGCTGTTTAAGGAGAAGCACAGCCACCTGTGCTGCAAGGGTCTTCTTGAGGTGGCCTGTGAACAGAGGGATATGAGAAACTCCTTCCTTGTGGCGGAAAGTCTCCGTTTGTTCTAAGGTAGCCTTATTGCATTTCTAGCTCCCTTCTCCTCCTGACTGCACTTGGGAATCTTCCCCTCTACACAGCTGTTTGCTTAATGTTTAACTGTGAATGTAGAAAGGACAGTAATAAAGCCAGCTGTTGTGCCTGGAGTCTGGTTAACAGTTACTTGAGCAAATAGGATTACTTTTTTTAGTATTGTTTAAACTGGAGTCATTCAGGATGGGGAAGAAATGAGCACACCCATGAACATCTCCAATTCAACAAACTCAACTTGGGAGGGTGGAAGGAAGGAGAACTGATTTGCTGGGGCTGCCTGTGCAGTGTGTTCCTACCCAGAAGACTGAACAAGAGTTGTAGAATGTTTCTGGTAGATTTACCATTGACTGGAGAAGCCTTTATGTGGCAAGTGAGAGAACCTGCTCAGTTCTGTGCTTGCAATAATACAAAGGCTTCCAAAAGGTAAAAAAGGTGTGTGTGGGAGTACCAAAGGAATTCAAAGTGAATGACACTTTCCATCTCCGTAAGCTCTGGTAGTTGCTAGTGGTTGATTTGCTGAAAACACAAATACCACTAATACTGTGTATGTGAGTATCTCCTGTAGCAGGTCCCAAGTGCTGTAGGACAATATTATGAGGAAGAAGATTGCTGGAGACAACAAAAGTTCTTCCCAATTTGGAGCTCAGGTCAGCTGAAGGCATGACTTGGGAGATACTTGGTTTTCTAACTATAGTCCAGGTATCTGTTGGGAGAACAAGTTTCCATCTTTCCATTTGTAAGCAAAGCTGCTGTAATCCAGACAGCTCTTGGACATTCATGCAGTGCATCTTAGTTGTGATAAGCCTAAAAGCTGAGCAGTGGGCTGCACTTATATGATGAGCTCAAGTTGAGCAGTGGGCTGCACCTATTTTAGGAGAAAGAGTGGGTGATGTTTTCCTCCTCTTCCTCCTCTTCCTTTGCCAAGACTAGGAACAGAGCCTCAGTATCAGTTACCATATGGCCCAGCCTTACTGTAAGCTGTGATTGGCAGTAGATTAAGCTGTGGCTTCTTGTTCCTTGTGAGGTTGGGTAGCTCTGGAGTGACTCTTTCCAATGAGGATGGGTACCTCAGAAGTGTCTCGTTCCTATGGGGACGTGTAGCTCTGGAGTGATTCTTTCCTACGTGGAGTCTATCTGAGGCATGATAAGTAAGAAAGAATTACTGTCAGTGAA